CCCTGGAGGAACACTATGTAAGTCCCAGGCCCTTGTTAGCTCCTGGGAATACTAAGATGTAGGACCACAACGACTCCACTGGAGAAGATCACTCTACTGAGGAAGATAGTCACCCCCATGCCCACCAAGGCATGAGCCCTGAAAGAAATAGCTGTGTGCCACAGCATGGGCCAGGAGGGGGATGGCAAATGCACACTTTGAAAAGCTGGGGACCTTTTCCTCCAGAATAGGGATATAGGGTTGCTTATTCCCATCCCCCACCACACTCTTGGGCCCTGCTTTCAGTCCAAGATCTTGCAGGGCTGTCACATAAAAGGAGGTGCTCCATCCACCCCATCCCCAACCCATGCGGCAGCTAATCACTTTGCAGATCTGAACGGGTAATATTTATTGAGCACTTACAACGTGCCAAACAATTGACATGGGTTGTGCTACTCCATCCTGGTAACAACTCTGTGAGAGAGATACCCTTCTTGCCCCATTGTACAAGTGAGGAAATGGAGGATCCCAGAATTCCTTCACTTGCCCAGGATCACACAACCTGGTAAACACTAGGGCCACAAGCCTGAGCAAAAACTAGACATCCTCTCCAGATCATGAGAGGGAGCTGGGATCTCTGCGCACCCCCAGCCCCCACCCAGAGGCTGCTGGGGAAGGTGCAGGGGCCCTCGGAATGTGCTGACAACTCTGCGCCAGGCTCCAGGCCACCTTCCTCCCTCCTGTAACACCTAGAGACCTGAAAATACCCAGAGGCCACGCAGCTGTGGATTCTTCTGTTTCTGATAAAGACGTCTTTGAAATGAGTCATTTCCTTCGAAAGGAAGAAATATGTTTTTAGATTGTAGCAGAAGTACCCACCCTCAAATACACACCCACTCTCTAATCCCGCTCAGGTTGGCAAACCCTGTGCCAGGAAGTGCCAGGGGCTGAAGGACCTCACATCCGGCCTCCAAGTGGAGACCTGAGGTCACAGTTGACCCCAGGGAGGGACTCTCTGGGGCTCTTCCACTCCAGGGGGCTAGGCCTCTGGCTTCCATCCCAGTGACAGGAAAAGACTTGCCTCCTCAGAAGCTGCAGTTGCCTGTATGGTTCTGTCTTGCTCTGTCTTCCTTCTTCCCTACCGGTTTCTTTTTTGTCTGCCTTTATCTATCTTCCTCTCTTTTCCTATCCCTCCAATCATGCATTCATCCATTCATTCATTTATTCAGTTTTGGTTTTGCTTTGTTGAGCTGATCTCTGATCCATAGGTTTCCTCCTATTCAGATAGCCTCCTGACATGAGGGTCACTTGCTAGCTGCCCACTCTTAAACAGAGCCCTCCCTATACTCTTTGCTGACCATTCCAGAGCTTGGGCTGCGCCAAGTTAAGGCTTCTTGGATGCTTCCTACCAATCAGATAATTCATTCACATTTGAATAACTTTATTGAGCTATAGTTACATACAAAAAAGTTCAACCATTTTAAGTACACAGGTCAGTGACTTTTGGCAAATGTATCAAGGTGTGTCATGACCACCAAAACCAAGATATAGAACATTTTCATCAGCCAAAGGGTTTTCTTGCACCCCTTTGCAATCCTTTCTCCCCACCCCTGGCAGGAGCCACCCTTCATCTGTTTTCTGTCACTGTAGTTTGGGTTTTTTCAGGTATGTCATATAAATGGCATCGTAGAACATATAGTCTTGTGTGTTGTCCTGCTTCTTTTACTTAAGATGATGTTAAGAGGCATGTATGTCATTGCATGTATTGCTGAGGCATATGCCACTGTCTTATACTTTAAGTGGTTCATTCCTTTCCCAGTTTGGGCTGAAATGAATAGAGCTGCCATGAGCATTCATGTACAAGTCCTTGTATGGACACACGTTTTCATTTCATTTCTCTTGGATAAATACTGTGAGTAGGATTGCTGAGTAGCCTGGGAAATGTGTATTAACTTAATTTTTTTTTAAATGGCCAAATTGTTTTCCCATGTGGTGGCACCAATTTACATCCCACAAGAGGTACGTGAGTTCTAGTTGCTCCACATTCTCACCAGCACTTGGTACAGTCAGTCCCTATAACTTTAGCTGTTCTTTTAGGTTTATGGTGGTATCTCATGTAGTTTTAATTTGCATATTTTATAACTGTTGATGTTGAGAATCTTTCTCTGCATTAGCCACTCAATATATCTTGTTTTTGCTCATTTCTTATTAGGTTGTTTGTCTACTTCTGAGTGGGTTGTAAGAATTTTTCCAGCCTTTAATCTCCCTCTTCCTCCTTCCTCCCTCAATCCCTCTGAATCTGTCCCTTCTTCCCACGGCGGCTCCGTCTCACTTGCTGACTCTCCCTGCACCCTCAGCCATGATGTCCCCCTCTCCATCCTCTCCCAGACACCTCAGAACCTGAGAACCTGACCTTCCTTCCCATTCCATATTAGAAAGAACTCCATCCCAAGCCCACCAATTTCAGTCCTGGTTCCACGCACCAAAGAGGGGAATGCGCCCTCCCCAGAGAAGGCCTAGAGGAGGAACAGGAGAGAGCCCGTGTCATGGAGAGGCGGCTTTGCATTCTAGCATCTTCGGAGGAAGATGCTAGATCAGTAGTGTTTCTGGATAGAAGGGTGTTCCACTCAAACATAACACTGGAAAGTCATGAGTGTTATGTGAAGTTCACACTGTTTAATCAGTGGTTCCCAAGTCTGTATAAACATAAGATTAGTTGTTCGAGTAACAGGGCTCTCCCTTGGCACAGCTCCTAAGCCCGGCAGGGATTTGCCTTGCCCACTCGCAGAGAAGGAGCTGCCTAGCCTAGAGCCATTTCCTTCTCATCTCTGTCTGAGGGAACCAGTGCAACAATATGTCATTGCAAAGCTCAGAACTCTTTATGCAGGGTTAGAGAACCTCAGATGTGTGACTATGATACACTTTTTTTAAAGAACTTTACTGAGATATAATTCACATGCCATACAGTTCACCCACTCAAGGTATACAACTCAGTGGGTTTTGATACATCCACAGATATGCACAACCATTACTACCACAATTTTACATTTCATCACTGCAAAGAGAAACCCTGTGTCCTATAACTATCCTACCCTTTAACTATCACCCCCATGTCTATCTATGTCCCCAGTCCCTGGAAACCTCTAATCTACTTTCTAATTCTATAGATTTGCCTACTGTGGGCATTTCATGTAAATGGAATCATGTAATGTCGTCTTTTTGCATCTGGCTTCTTTTAGCATAATGTTTTCAAGGTTTATCCATGTCCTAGCATGTGTCGATACTTCATTTTTTAGGGATGAATATTATTCCATTGTATGGATATACCATCTGTTGCATATCCATCAGTCAATGAACATTTGGGTTATTGCCACCTTTTGGCTATTGTGAATAATGCTGCTATAACATTTGTGTGCAAATTTTTATGTGGGACTATGTCTTCATTTCTCTTGGGCATGTACTAGGAGTAGACTTACTGGGTAATATGGTAACTCTAAGTTTAACCATTTGAGGAGCAGGGCTTTCAAAAGGGGCTACACCATTTTATACTTCATCAGCACTGCATAAGGATTTCAGTTTCTCTACATTCTTGCCAACCCTCATTATTATCTCACTGGAATAGTTTTTGATCCTATAAACTGGATTCTCATAACCTCACACATACATTTACATGACCATCAACCCAGATACACACAAAACTATAGTCATACATGCCTGCACACATCTCTAGAGTTCACATACATACAGTCCCAGACAGACATTTACAATTACATAGCCATACATGCATACATATAATTACACATAGCATATGTGCATATCAATTCACAGACCCACATGCATGAGCATAATCAGACATCCAATAGACCAATGCCAGCACAGATCTACATACAGTTGTCATGGGTTCCAAACAAACATGCATCCTTGCACAGACAGCCAGAGACACATGCGCTCAGAGATGCACTCACGCTTGCCCAGCCACTCATACACAACAGTTGTAGCCACCAAAACAGAGTCCTGAAAAGGCACAGATATATAGTTGCCATTTCGTATGGATGGGTAACTGAAGGCAGATGGAACGTATTTACTCTGGATGGCATGGAGAGGGTTGAGGTTTCATCAGTCCAGGTGTACTGGGTAGGAAAACTTTTCATTCATTTGTTCTTTAAGCTGCAACAATATATCGAGCACATAATATGGTGATGGACAAGACATAGTCCCCGCCCTCATGGAACTTAGAGTCTAGTGGGGGATGGTTAGTCAACAAGGAAACAATCATAGTCTGTGATATGCACCAAGAAGGAAATGAGCAATGGAGTAGATTACATAATAGGCAAGGTCCCCGGGTAGGAGAGTTTAGGAGTTTACAGCGTTGGTGCTCCCCCTTCCATCCTGGAAGAGTGAAGAGGATTCAGAGTCACCTTCCTTAAGTCACTGGATAGTGACTGGAGCTGGAGGGTAAGGTAAAGACAGGGAACTGTCGAAAACTCGACTACCTTGTTTTACTTTTTTGTTTCATACTAGTTGAGTGACCTTTCTTTCTCTGTTTTTCACCCCCAAAATGAGGATAATAGTACCTTTAATACAGATTAAATCTACTTGTAAAATGCTTCAAACTTCCTGGCAAGTGTTAAATTCTCAATCAAAATCAGCTAATGTAGCACCTTCCTGAGACTAGGCTTTCATGTACTGGGAGATGGGAGGGGAGGGGCCCAGGGAGTGGATCCAGGGTTCTGGCAGTACCCTGGTGACTGTAAATCCCACTGGTCTTCATCCTCTGCCTTATCTGAGCAGTCTTTTGGAATGCAGCCTTGGCATGCCACACCCAAGCCCCCAGGACACAAACCAATCTATCCCCACCCTGCACTTCCCATAGCGGAAAACCACAGCAAAGACACAGGATGGGTGGCGCTGGGCATGGTTCTTGGTTTCCAGATGCATCAGGCCTTCCTGCAGCAGCTCCGCCAAGGGCCTACCTAGTGATGCTCACTGCTTCAGCTCGGCTGTCTTTTCTGTCTGTGTAGGTCTCCACGTATCACCCCACACCCTCCTCCCCGGGACATTCCACAGCCATCGTCAGTCTGCCTGGCTCCCAGCAGCACCTGTCAGCTAACATGTGAGTAGAAAGCTCAGCCTCCACCCCTGGTCCTGGTGCAGATGGGTCGCCGTTGCCATCCGTCTGCCATCCGCCACTGAGCATCACCACTCCCAAGCCGTCCCACCCAGAGAGAAAACAGCTCCCCGCCCTTCACAACCACCAATGGAAATAATGGTGCAAAGTACAAATTAGCAAAACACATCAGCCTAGCTCATTATTTTACCAAACCAGAAAGAGACTGGAAGGTTATACACCAAGACATTGCTGGGAGATTGTGTATGGAACAATTTCTATTGTCTTCTTTTAGATTCAAAATGTTGGGCTATAAATAGATGTTGCTTTAGTGATCAGTGAAAAATAAATGTAGCATTTTATAGAAGGGGAAAAAACCTTTCAGATGAGAATACTCCGCCCCCCCCCCCCCCGCCCCAGGCCATTTGATAGAACCTTTCACAGTCCTTAGAATCTAGAAGGGCTTCCTAAGGACTGGCCTGAGGGCCATGTACCAGTAACCCCTGAATCTGGCACACCAAGTGGGGTTTTTTTAAAGATTTTATTTATTTATTTTTAGAGAGGGGAAGGGAAGGAGAAAGAGAAACATCAATGTGTGGTTGTCTCTCACACAACCCCTGCTGGGGACCTGGCCCGCAACCTGCAGGCATGTGCCCTGACTGGGAATTGAACTGGCGACCCATGGATTTGCAGGCCTGCACTCAGTTCACTGAGCCACACCAGCCAGGGTGAAGTGGGTTATTTTTTAATGTCTTTAGTCAGCCAAGTATTCTCATCACTTTCACAGCCTCACTATTCCCCTAGTGTCTTCTTCACACACCCACCCCCACCCCCCGACTCATACCTGGATGGAACCTGCTGGACTCCTGCATGGACAGCAGAGTGGAAAGTCGCTGCTCAAAGAGAAGCCATTTTTGCCATATTAAGCCCATTCCCCTCCATCCCACCTTGCAGCCAGCATTCATTCCACTGTGTACCAAAGAACTAAAGTTAACCCAGCCCCCTTCCTAGTACCCACTGTCCTGCCTACGTGGAGCTAGCTCCTTGGCCATGGTGGGGGTGGGGTGGGGGGAGGAAACAGGTCTCTGCTCTCTGGAGAGGGAGTGGATCTGAGGGGCTTCCAGCTGGCCTCTCATTTCCCAGAAGCTTGCTGGCTGCGACTGGTTGCTAAGCAGTGTGAGAAAGCATTCCCTGTAGAGCCGCATGTCTGGGGTTGAGACCCAGTTCCACCACTAATTCCTGCTCACCAGTTCCTTTCTGTATGGTAGGCCAGTTTCCCCATTGTCAACATGCCGATGTGGCCTAACTTAGGGACTGGCAGCTGTGTGACTTGCAGCTGTGTGACACTCCACGGAGGTGGGAGGAGATGGAGTGGGCATCACCCTTCCGTGGGTGTACTGACCAGGCTCTGCCACTTTCCTCTGCCTGACACATTGAGGCTTGTGTTTTAAAGGGTTGTTATTGCTAACCCTGGGCTGCAGCCGCCCTCTCCCTCCACCCTTCGTTGCTTCCCTGCCCTCCCCTAGGTGTGTCCATGCCCATCCCTCACTGGCCCCATGTCTCCCCAGGTTTGTAGCCCTGCACTCCTACTCAGCCCATGGACCTGAGGAGCTGGACCTGCAGAAGGGAGAGGGTGTCAGGGTCCTGGGGAAGTACCAGGACGGCTGGCTCAGGGGCGTCTCCTTGGTCACCGGGCGAGTCGGCATCTTCCCCAACAGCTACGTCAGCCCCATTTTCAGGTGCGTCCCCTCCAATCTCAGGCATCAGGGGGCCGGGTCGTCCAGGCCGGGGCCATCTCTGGGTTGAGTTGCGGAAGGACTCAACGCTCTTTGAGAGTGCAGGCCCAGAAATAGCTTTTGCTCTAGTACCTGCCTAACACTTTAATTTCTTTTTAAATAGCCAAAAGAGTTATCTTTTTTATAGCTCTTCATGGTTTATAAGCGCTTTCAAGGTTTTTTTTTAACTCCTTGGCTAGGCCTTAAAGGATTAAAGTATCCTGTAAGGTAGATATTGTTTTACAGATGAGGAAATTGTGGGAGAGTTAAGCAACCTGCCCAAGAACTAGATTTCTGGTTTTGTGTACAAACCCCCCAAATCCCACTTCACATCCTCCACCTCGGCACTCCATCTAGTGGCGAAACGGAGAACTGTGGGGGTCAGTTCTGACCACCGGGAGTATGTCCACCAACTTCCCAGAATGCTGGGCGGGAGCAGAGTGTCCATGAACTCAGACCACTGCCTATCCATCCGCACCCCAGGTAAAACGTCAGTTACCCTGCAGGTCTTCTTCCCAAACAGCTCCTTCCCAACCTTCTTCATTCTCTGGCATACTTGTGGGTTTCACTGGCCCACAGTTTGTCCAGCCACCTCGTACCGCAACCACATGGCACACAAACCCCCAAACTATCCCCAATTCCGCCTGCCCTCAGCCCCAGCAGCCCAGGCACAGCCAGCCGGTCACAGGCAGTGAGGCCATCAGCACACATCAAATGCTGTCTCTGTGACATACCAGAGAGTCATAATTGCAAGGAAAGTGTTCCTCTTGCTGTCCTCCCCGGGCCCACTCCTGCAGCCATACCTTCTGTTTGGGGGACCTTCATGGAGGCAAGGCGCTGAGTCCAGAGGAGGATAGCAGGGATGGTGAGGAGACTGAAATCCACGTCACAGAAGAAACTGATAAACTGGGGGTATTTTTTTAAGCTGTAGAAAGGCCAGAAGGACCATCATGGACTGGGTAGACCAGGAAATAGATTCATTCCGTGAAGGGGAAATGAGACAATGGCTACAATGTAGAAGGGTTTGGTTCCATAAAGGCTGCACTTTCTAACTCATAGATTTTTCCATCAGCCTAGCTGGTGAGGTGGGGGACCCCCTTTCTAGGAAGAGGACAGGCAAAGTCTACGTTCCCATAGGTCCAGGCTTGTATGAAAAAGGTGGGCAGAAAGTTGGAGCAGAAGATCACAGTTGTTCCCTTCCTGGGAGGTTCTCGGAATTTGTTAGGAAATTGCAACATCTCCAAAAGCAGACTAAGGTGTCTGTGATTGATACTTTAATTCACTGATTCAGCAAATATTTGCTGAGCACTGACACGTGTCAGTCACCCGTCAGTCTCCAGACCGTGGAGAAACACCAGGGAACAAAATGCGCTGCCCCCAGGAGATGACATTCTAGTGAGACGGACAGACAAAAACACAAGATATATAAGTAATGTAGATGGTGTTAGATAAGAGCTAAGAAAAGTCAGGAAAGGGAGATAGAACTCGTGTGGGGGTGACGAAAGCTCTAACAGATTGGTCAGGGAGGTGAACCGTGTGGATCTCCGAAGGGTGTGTATTCCAGGCCAAAGGGACAAGCTCCTGAGCAAAGGCCCCGGGGGTGGAGTGTGCCTGACATGAAGGTCAGTAGGGCTGGATTGAAGCCAGTGAGCAGTAGCTTAGTAGGAGATGAGGTCAGAATGGTAATAAGGGTCAGATCTTAGAGAATTTCCTAGGTCATAATGAGGAATTTGACTTGAACCCTGTAGCAGGGTGTGAGCAGAGGCACAACGTGATCTAACTTCAGTCTGAACCAGAATCCCTCTAGTTGCTGGGCTGAGGATACAATGTTGGGAAGAAACACTAGAGGCAGAGAGATGAGCTAAGGGAACACTGTCATTATCCAGGGCAGAGGTGACGGTGAACTGAGCCAGGGTGTGAGCCACAGAGGGAGGGAGACGTGATTAGGTCCTGCTTGTACCCCGAAGGTAGAGACAACAGGGTTTTCTGGCAGATCCAATATCGAGCGTGAAAGAATAGAGGATTCAAGGGGAGTCCATGTTCTTTGCCCTGAGTCCCTGGAAGCTGGAGTTGCTTTCTACTGGCAATGGAAGTGAAAACCAAAACAGGAACAGGTTTTGGGGAACAGCGAGGAAAGCAAAAATTTGTTGGCAGCAGATTAAGTCTCAGATGCCTGTTAGTAATCCTAGTGAAGGTGCTGGTTAAGTCCAGCATTTAAGAAAGAGGCCCAGGCTCGAGGCAGCACTGAAAACCCTAATGCTAGATGAAATCACCGTGGTGGGGTCAGGTGCAGTGTAAGTGTATATAGAAGGGCAGTGAGCCGGGAGCTAAAATCTTCCAGGAATGTGGGGAGAGACCTAAGGGGAAATGATGCTCGAGTCTGATGATAGGAGTCAAAGCTGACAGGTGTGGGGGAGGTGGGACAATAGTCTACTAAGAGTGATGATGAGGAGCTAGGAGGATGCCTACTCTAACTCATGAACTGTTTCTTTGTGGGGTCCAACATGAATCTCTAGGGCCATGCCTACTATTAGGGCATTTGCTTATTCATCACGCCTTAGCTCAAAGTCCTGGCTATGCCATGAAAGAACCATTAGAATAAAAGGGGCCATATAATTTATTATCCAAACTGGCACACTAGACAAGTGTCCCTAGATAAGAGAGGGAGGCTCAGTACAGCAGGTGTAAACAGTACAGCAGGTGTGACCCCCACCTCTCCTGGGGTCATCAGGACAGGTGGTCACCAGGACTAGAATGCACATGAGATTCCCTTCCAGTGTACTCCAGCTCCAGCTTCCCTTTCTCTCCCCCTGCAGTGGTCTCCAGCACGTCAAGTGTGTAGACGCGCGTCCTCCCCTATGGCTGCCTGTCTGACAGTGGATCGAGTTTCAGCACCATAAACCGCCACTCCCCCACCCCACCCCCAGCTCATAGGAATCTGAACATATGCATAGAGTGAGGTGCAGCTTATGCTGCTGGGTGTTTTTGCTTCTGGAGAACCAGCACTTCCAAGAACAAGTCCCTGTCACAGTACACTCTCCTGAGGGCTCTTAGGTGACAGAGGATCAATGCTTTCTGTATGTGGACGTTTTCCCTGACGGCCTCCCTGATTCAGAGAAAGTTCCTGTCCCCACTAATCTTGGGCGTGGATGACATATGTCCAATCTGTCTATGTGGCGGCAGCTCACCCCTGTTCTTAACCAGCCTTTCCACTTGCGAGGGGTAACTCCTCCCACTGCTTAGGGCTGCATGATGCTGTCTTCTGTCAGTGACTTTGTGTTAGAACTCAGTGGGCTGGACGCATGTTTCTGCTCGTTGGTTCTGTGTGTTGAGTTCCCTCCCCGCACCCCCACCACCCGCCAAGTTTCCTGTGTGCAGCTCTGCACTGGCACCAGCCCCCTTGCTGTACAGCGCAGCCTTTTACAAACAGCCAAGGCTTGAAGGGGTGAGGTGACCCTGGACTTGTGCACCACACTCTCCTTAGCATAGTTCCCTAATGAACTGAGCCAGCCAGACTAACTGGGGGTACTAACTGTGGGTAAACCAGAGCTGATGAAAATGTCAGGGTTTTGGTCTAAGATTCAGCAAGTGAGCCGTTTAATGACCAAGAGAGGACAAGGCTGCGGTGCTGCCCAGAGCCCCAGCCCTCTGTGCTGGATGGTGCTGCCACCTGCGCACCTGTGTGGACACGACCGAATCTCTGCCACTGGGGCGCGTTTCCGCAGTCCCGGGAGGCAGCCATGGGCTCAGGCTGTCCAGAGTGCTTGTCACATTTCCACACAAACCCCTTCGTAACAGCCCAGCATCCCTTTGGACATCCTCCTTCTGCACAGTCTTAGTGGGAGGCAGAAGGTTCCTCCCTTTTCAGAGGTCGAAGAAACCAACTCCTCTTCCCCCTCCTCCTCCTCAACCCATCACCACAACTAAGGGACAGGCTCCCCCAAGCTAAACACTCCCCCTTTAGACGTGGAAACCTGAACAAGGAAGGGAAGAAAGTGGACCAAGTTGAAGACCACTCCTGGTGAGAACACAAACGGTAGCATCTTATCGGACACCTCCCGCCTCAGAGTCCTAAGCAGCCTCCCTTGGACCTGTTTCCGAGCCTTTCCCACCCCTGCAGTCCTCCCCCGTAAAGCCCCTGCCACCCAGTTAGCCAGGATATTTCTCTTTCTTGCAACCTTCACCCGACACATGTGTCCTCCTGGGGACTATGGGCCACCACTCATTTTCCTTGAACTTTCTACACAGAACAACATAAAAATTGTCAAGGGCCAAGCTCCTGCCTTACTGGGTGGCTGCTGCCACCTGAGCAAGTTCTTAAGGACTCATGGCACAGATAGAAAAGGGGACACAGGGGTCTGCACACCCCAAGCAACAAAGCAAATCAGAGCCAACACATGCGCTCCTTGCACTCAAGCCCGAATGTCTTTCAGTCTCTCCGCCTAGAAAACAGGCATCATGATGTCTGTGGGTCTGGGGTGTTGGGGATTAATAACTACATGTGAGCACAGTACTTTGATGTTAGAAGAAAGTGCTAGAGAAGTGCCCAGCTTCCTGCCAGAAGACATAGAGGGACTCTGTGTTAGATGGAGGACTTGGGATTCCCGAGTTTCTGGAATCCAGCCGAGTGTCGGGCTAGAAAAATGAGGTCACACCTCAGCCTGTAAACAGTCGTTCAGACAGGACTGGTGGAATAAAGCTGGCGTGGGCCTGATTAACTGTGTTTTCGTCCTTGCTGCTGCTGGAAACAGCTCTGGAACCCTTCTTTCCTGTTTACAGCCCGCTTTGCCACATTCAGCACCTTAAGGCCTCGATTGAAAAGACAAGCAGGTGCAGACTCTGTTGTGGAAGCCGGTGCTAGGGTCTTTCTTCACCTCCCAGCCCTCCCCTCCATTGTAGTCGGTGCTCCTCCCGGCGGGCAGCCCGCTCCCCTTCACTGACCATGTTCCCAGGGACCAGAGGCAGGTTGGTGGCTGCAGGCAAGGTCCCCTTGCTGCCAAGTCCCCTCAGCTCCTGGCACACCAGGCTGCATACCTGTCTTGGGCAGGGTTGGCCACATTAAATGATGCCTTATTCATCTTTGTACAACACTGGCTGACTGATTATTAAACTGCATGTCAGTCTTCTAAGCAAAAGGAGAGAAAAAGAGAAAAATAAGGGGAAATTACCTAAAGAAACCTGGAGGCATTGGCAGGCAGGAAACCAGGAGGGAGGGCATCTCTGTGCCGGCGGCGGCCGCCAAGGGCAATTGGTTATTCCCAGGTAATTAGCCGAGGTTATTTAATCAACAGAGTGACAAGGTGATTGATGGGCTGCTTCACAGGGGCTCTGATGTTGGGGTAGGATTGCTACAGGGCAAGAAATGCATGCAGAAAGACAGCCATTCCCCATAGGGTTTAGGGACTTGCAGGCTGGGAACAATAAACAAGGGACTGCTTGCTGTTTTGTAAAACTTCAATACTAGTCTTCGAAATCAGATCCCAAGACAGAAGAATGAGTGTCTTATGGAGGCACGTGTAAGGCTTACCCACTATGTTAGTTTCTTTCAAGCAGGATGCAGGGTTTTCCTTGCCACCGAATGATGAATGGTCTAACTAGCCAGAAGGTAGTGTATCTCAGTGGTAAGGGCACAGGTGATGTAGGTCAGTGGTGGAGCAGAGAGCCAGCCTGGACCTGGGCTCAAAAGTCAAGTGGTTGCAAGTAACGGAAAATCTCCATTTTTTTACATCTATAAAATGGTAGCGCTAACGGTAACCTACCTCACAGGGCTGCTGTAAAGAACCCATGAGATAATGTGGGCAAAGCACTTGCCTTTGCCTGGTATGTGGCACCTGCTCATATGTGTTAGCCAGAATGACTCGAATCAGTGCCAAAAGCACTATGGCAGTCATTCGGCAAACATTTATTAATAATTAGACATGCAGAACACCTAAGATAAATCATATAAAATCTATGGCTTCAAACAGTTTGGAATCTAGTGGAAAAGTCACTGGATGAACAAGGACGCGCCCCAGCAAAGCGTGGCAAATACGTAAAAGACCTTGTGCTCTAAACTCAAGGGCTGAAGGGACATGGGTTGAGAGGCAATCAAACTGGAGTGAAAGATGACAAAATTCACGCCTTCCAGTTGGTCCAGGGCCTCAGGATGCGAGCCCCTGCCTCCCCTCCAGCATGTGCCCAGGTGCCGAGGTATGGGAATGAGGCCTGCTAAGGGAAAGCGTTTTCGTGGGTAGGAAGAGGGTTGGAAACAGCCACAGCTGCTGTACGGTTGGGAGCCGGTAGCTTTTCAAAAACCAGGACCCTTCGCTGACCCCTTGCGTTTTCCATTTCTTTTTGAAAACACGTGTCTACAACAGAAGGCCGTCTAGTTTCCCCGATTCCCGGTGCCCTGGTCTCTACACCACATGGATGGTATCGACCTCCTCTGTGTCCTCCCAAGGCAGCTTTGCAGAAGGTGATCCCCGACAGAGCCGTCCCTTCAAGTCCGTCTTTGTACCCACCGCCATCGTCAACCCCGTGAGGAGCACAGCCGGCCTGGGGACGGCGGGGCAGGGCTCTCTTCGGAAGGGGCGGAACAGCATGAGAAAGAGTAAGTGGTGGCAGAGAGGTACGTGCCTAGAGCTCAGTGATGGGGGACCTGACCCCAGGGTAAAGGGTTTGTTACGATTCCCAAGTACTGAGTTGTTTTATTGGATGACACCTGACCCACTCGAGGTCGCTGCCCTCCGGTCACTTGCTACATGCACGTTGATTGACTGGGATGATGGCAGCCCTGAGTGCCAACGTATAATTAGCACACAGCCAGGGTTAGATGCTGGCTCTTATTAAGATGGAACAACCAAAGCACTTGCTGGATCAGTGCTTCTCAAACTATGTTCCAGGGAATCCTTCACGGGGTGCCAAAAGGGTAGTAAAGGGGAAAGGAAGGAAAAGAAGGTTAAAAAGTCAATGCTGAGAGCCCTTGAATCCTACTTTGTCATTTAACTAATGCACACACAGGGGTAAAAAAAAAAAGGGGGGGGGATTATATTGTACAAAAGTAAGTTTATCATATACTTAACTTCCAGTCTCAAGTTCTCTCCATGTACATATATACCTGCTAATGATACTCACTGCACTGTTCTGCACCTTGCTTTTATTTTTACCTATATAGCAGCCATCTGCATACATGGCAGTAATACAGATCTTCCCTCTTAAAAGCTATGTTTTTATCTACATCAGACTTCTTTTTCAGGGATATTTAAAGTGTTTGAAACCCATTGTTCCACCAACAGCAAGGTTTTGTGTTGATTTATGTGTCTCTCGAGAAGACAATGAACCAAGCAAAGTAAACTTGATTCATTCTGCATCCTCTGATTTCAACTGGGCTCTGCTATATTAAAAAAAATGATTCAATGTGAAAATGCACTGTCTAGTCAGAGCAAAAGACTACCATGTTGGACATATGCCGCACAGGAGGATGCCCCTAGGAAATTCGGTGTCTTGGACCCACCCTCTCCCAGTGCTGTCATCTGATCACTGGCTGGACCTTAGGGCTACTACTCTTGCCTCTCAGTTCTATCCAACAGTCCTCCTTCCTTCTCCTTCCAGTACCTTCCTCCACCTTATCCTCACCGCACCCCCCACCTGCCCACAACACACACGCAGAATAACTGATCCCAGCATAACAGCCTTGGGCAAGTTACTGATCTCTACCGTCTTCAGTTTTTATCATTTATGAAATGGAAATAAAAACTGTAACAACCTCATCAGAGTCATTGTATGGATTTCACAAAATAATCCACATAAGACTAATGGCACAGTGCCTAGCCTGTTAATAAGCTCTCGAGAAATATTAGCTGTTTTTATAGTATTATTATTTTATCAGTATTATCACTGCTACTGCCACTAAGCAGATCATCTTATTTTTTTTATCTTCACCCGAGGGCATGCTTATTGATTTTAGAGAGAAGGGAAGGGGAGGAGAGAGAAAGGGAGGGAAAGAAACATTGATGTGAGAAAGAAACATCAGTCGGTTGCCTCCTGTTTGCTCCCTGACCGCAGACCAATCCTGCAACCTTGGCCTGTGCCTTAACCAGGTATCGAACCTGTGACCTTTCAGTTTACTAAATGTTGTTCCATCCAACTAAGCCACACCAGCCAAGGCTAAGCACATCCTGTGCTCCATGCAGGGCATGAGCTCACTTACATCAGCCTAGACCACTTGTGAACGCAAGCACTGCACCCCATTGGCAAGGGCTCACATTTTCTTTTATAGGTTTTCTCCCCACCTTTGCCTACATCTTGATTAGCTTGGAGCTTTGACTATTTGCATTGACATTGAATGCACATGCAATAAGAAAATATTAGCTCTCTTGGAAATTAAGAACCAGCACAATAAATACATAAGGCATAAAACCAATTTTTCACATGTTTCCGGGCGCCTGAGGCCATGTCTGCCCGGTGCTGCTCTGACTTTCCCAGATCTCGAAGGGACCATCTCTCTCTCCCTTTTCCCAAGGTGAGGCTAGTCAAGCTATTAATCTCCCCAACACAGCAAGAAATGACAGCTGAATTGACTGGTTGCACCTCACAGGGCTAACAGTGGAAAAATAAATGTCTACATGGAAAGGTCAGGCTTGTAAATGGCGGCTGGCTGGCTTGCAGCAGCTGAGAGGGCCGGCCGCGTGTAGTGAGCACCTGCTTTTCAGCTCACATCCAGCTGGATGCAGAGTCACAACACAGGACATGGCCTTGGCACGGGCCCTCTGTGCCAGACACAAGTGACTGACTCACACACATATCCAGAGAGTGTTGCAAAGTACTAACCTCTCTGACTGGATGCCCCCTGTGGCTCTCTAATGCTGGGGACCCTTTGGGAACAGTGGCCATGGTGCTTCTCGGGGGCACCTCTCCCACCTTCCCCAGAGTGCAGTGGCCTCCTGATTCTTCCCCAAATACCCACAGGACATATTCCCAACAGATGGGGGCTCTTGTCTGCAGAGGGCCTGAGGGGAAGGAATGGCTTCCTTTTACTGAGACAGTCCTGTCTCAGTAAACAAAACAAAACAAAATTAAAAATAAAGCTTAGGGAAGGAGCAAAACCAAACTCCTGGACCTTGCATTTTTAGAGTGTGCTATTCTTTACCCACAAATAATGATAGTTAACAAACATGGGCCATTTATTAGGTCCCAGGCACTGTCCTAATCCTTTGCATACATAATATGTAATAAAATGTAATCCTCACACCAGCCCTAGGAGGTGCTGTTATTAGCTCCAGTTTGAGAATGACATGATTGAGGTGCAGGGAAGTGAGGTGACTGACTTGTCCCAGACTCCCTGGGAGAAGATCTGATCCCAGAGCCTGTGCCATGGGACTTTGCAAGGCTCATCCACACACAGCCCCAACTCAGGAGTAACCTTTCCAAGCTGGCTTCTACCTGGTGTCACTTCTGCCTAGCACACAATCTCTCTCTCCCTTTCTTTTTTTTAATCTCCACTCAAGGATATGTTTTTTACTGTTTAGAGAGAGAGAGAGAGAGAGAGAAAGAGAGAGAGAGAGAGAGAGAAACGTCAATGTGAGAGAGAAACATCTATTGACTGCCTCCCACATGTACCCTGACCCAGGACTGAACACACAACCTAGGTATGTGCCCTGACCGGGAATCAAACCTGCAACCTTTTGGTTGATGGGATGACGCTCCAACCAATTGAGCCACCTGGCCAGGACACACACACACACACACACACACACACACACACACACACTCAATATCCCATTCCCACTTCCTCCCTGAAGCCCCCAACTAACCCACCACCATATATCTAAAGCTGTTTTTGGAATTTTCTTGAAGTAGCTGGTCAGAGTCCTCTCCTCCCCTCCCTTTCTCCCTCCCTCTCATCCATCTCAGTTAACTCTCTCTCGTGCTTCTCAGTTTCTCTTCTCTGTTTCTTTCATGCTCTGGCTTTTGTGTCCTCTTTGGTCTGCATGTCTATGTCTGCTGCTCACTGTGAAGCTGACTCTAGGTCTGTCTTCTTCATTTTCCTTCTTAAAGGTCTGGAGGGAGAAAGTAGGAATGTGTGTGTGAGAGAGAGAGACAGAGAAAGAGACAGAAAGAGAGAGAGAGAGAGCAAGTGGAAGTAACTTACCTTCCGGCACCTGCCCCCCAACATTCATCTAGCCAGTTACTTGCTGCCAGCATCAGCGAACAGTACTAAAAAAAGAATAAGGTCACCTTTGAAAGACCCTGAGAGAATTCGCGCGCAGTCAGACATAGAAAGCACTTACCAGTGACTATTCTGGGATATCAGGACACACTGCTCATGCAGCCCCACCCCCCAGCCTGCGGCAGGCCCCCACCCTGGTGCTGATAGCTCTGTCATGTGATTCCCAGATGGCTCCCTGCAGAGACCTGTCCAGTCGGGGATCCCCACCCTTGTGGTGGGCTCCCTTAGACGCAGTCCCACCATGGTCGTACGGCCTCAGCAGTTCCAGTTCCATCAGTCACAGATGGTCGCCTCCGCACCTTTGGCGGAGATGGGACCCAAGCCGGTTCCCATGGGGGAGCCCGCCCTCACGTGTGTCAGCAGGGGCAGCGACACCAGGATCCACTCGGCAGCCAGCTCCATCATCATGGAAGGCAAGGAAATCCCCGTCAAGAGTGAGCCTCCACCCAAACCGCCTGCATCCGCGCCACCATCGATCCTGGTGAAACCAGAGAACTCCAGAAATGGCAGTGAAAAGGTAGGAGGGAGGTAACCTTTGGGGGGCATGACCCTTCAGACCCTGCCACCGCGGCCCAGTGTCCCAGCTCCTGAGATTTTTGTTGTAGTGGACGAGGAATCAAAATGACAGCCTCACCAGATCCTCACACACAGCCCCCTCCACATCCTCACGTCTCGCTGGATGCATTGCCCAGTCTCCTCGTACGCTTCCCAAATACTTCATACATTTTTCTTTCGAGGCCCAGGGTGGCTTGGAAGAAACATGGCTTTGCCGTCAGACAAATCTGGATTTGAATTCCAGCTCTGCTGCTTGCTAGCTGATGACTTTGGCCAAAACACTTCACCTTCCTGAGATTTTTTTTTTTTTTGCCTAATCTGTAAAATGATGGTAAGAATACTAACAGTCTCAGAGGGCTACATTGGAGTTTAAGTGAGAAAAGATGTGTACGGCACTTACAGAGGGCTTGGTACATAATTATTCACAGTGTAGAATAATTATGAGACAGAGAGAACTGAAGTGACACAGGAAGGTAACACTGAATTATGACAATTCCAACAACTGTCATTGTGACCTCTGTGCAGAGGTCAGATCTGTTAACTTCTGCTTCAGGCCTTTTCCCGTGAGTAGACATAAGAGATTTTGTAAAATGCTTATGTTCTCGGTAATATCCTTGAGGCAGGAGGGACGGTGGATGGAGGAGATGACATTAACAAATTAGGCAATGCTTATCTTTTAGTTTAGTGAACATCACATCACCACCACGTCCCACTCCGCCTTAAATGGAAAGGCGATGTGGCTTCCTGCTCTCGTGCACACTTGCTGAATGCTAATGACCAGGCTGGCACTGCACTGAGTACTTCCCATGTTCTGTCTCATTTAAGCCTCACAACAACCCTCTGAAGTAGGTGGTCTTTTTGTCATCCTCATTTTAAACGAGGAAGCAGAGGCTTAAAGAGTTAAAGTACATTACCCAAGGCACACAGCTGACACCCAGAGTGTCTAGGGTTGAGTCCAAATCTAAAACAAAACTCATGCTCTTGAGCCTCAGCTGTAAGCTTGTAGCGAAAGGCATTTGGGAAAAGTTAGCACTGACTGATAGAAACATCAGGAGTTTTCTTTTCGTGAATTATAGTTTTCAGATAATTCGAAACTTCTCAGGCCCCAGTTGCTCATTCTCGCAGGCTATTAGAGACAGCCTTCAAGCGGTACACGTTCAGTAAATGCGCAGGCCTCTGCTACACATGGTGAAGGTCAAAAGTATGAAGAAACTTGTAGCCTCCGTGGGGGACATCAGGATCAAATTTCACAGGAAAGAATCATTCCTAAGCAGTACCACTGCACACCTTCTTACGCCTTAAGAGAGAGACTGATGAAAGCTGGTAGCCGTGGACACCAGGGAGGTGGATGACAGGCTGGCAGAGGTGGAAGGGAGGAGTGGTACTTGCACAAACGCAGCCATATCTCCCACTCGGAGAGAGAGAAAGAACGGCTAATCACCTCCAGCCAGCTGTTGCCAAAGTGGGGAGCAGGCCCAGTGTGCCAGATCTCTGATTTTTTTTTAAATCTTCACCCAAAGATATGCTTTTTGTTGGTTTTTTTTAAAAGAGAGCGGAATGGAGAGAGAAATGTTGATGTGAGAGAGAAACATCAATCAGTTGCCTATCATACACACCACGACTGGGATCAAACCTGCAACCTAGGCATGTGCGCTGACTGGGAATTGAACCTGTGACCTTTCAGTTTACAGGATGATGCTCCAACCAAATGAGCCTCCTGACCAGGGCCAGATCTCTGATTTTTTAAGAGATGCATGAAAGATGGATTTTAATATGCAATCTCCCGATTTTTATGTGTTAGCAACTGAAACTCTCCAACATCCCACAGACTAAACTCAGCCAGCAGGTGTCCAGTTTGCGAACTCCGCTCTGAGGACTTGTCAGGCCAGTCTGCAGGCTCCCTGCACGGGCCCCGCAGGGGAGGCCTCAGGGACGGGCAGCCCTGAGACGGGCCTCCGTGGGAGATGGAGAAGAGAGAGGAAAGGTGAACTTATATTCTCTAGACTAGAGCCTACCCTCTTGCCTCAGCCCCTTTCTCAGGTAGGCCTACCAGATTTCTTCTAGATAATTCGTAATTGATCTTCATTTCTCACTTTAAATAGCTCTGCTTCTAGGAAGCCTTCCCTGATTTCCACTCCCCCTTTCAGCTTTAGCTCCATACTGTTCTGCATTTGACATCTGTACTCCCCCCTTCATGGCACTTGTTATTCTAATTGTCTTTTTGTTGAGGACAGTTTTATTCACTCTTGGACTCACAGCTCCTAACAGGGGGCGTGACGCATAGTGACACAAATATTTCCTGAGTGAACATGTGCATGAGGCTTTCAAGTAGGGACCAGTGTGGAGAAACAGCCTGAACCAAGTCCCAGGGGACAGCACATCTGCCACCTCACCTGTGTCCCTTTGCTCTTCTTTCTCTTGCAGCAAGTCAAAACCGTGAGATTTCAGAATTACAGCCCTCCTCCCAGCAAACACAGCACCTCTGGGAAGCCTGACCAGCCAGCCACCCCCAAGGGATCCCCGCCAGAAGCCACCCCGCTGGGCGCAGACATGACCATCCTATTCGCCCACCGAAGCGGCTGCCATTCGGGACAGCAGACGGACTCCCGGCAGAAGTCAGCCTTCGGCAAGACCGTGGCCCCAGCGTCCGCTGCCTCAGCCGCACAGACCGTGTTTCCCAGCAAATGAGTCTACAGGTGGCTCTTCCTAAACCCCAAAGAGGTGAATTGCATTTAAATACAGTCTGCCTCCACTGAGGGTGTGCTGCCATTCTTTGGGTACTGGAGCCTGGGCCCTTGTTCTGCCCATTTTACCCACTTTACCAAAGGAAAGATGGGAGCAGGGGTTCCTGCCCTGGGTGGGAGCAGAGATGGGGACGCTTTCCAAAATAATGACCCGACATGGCAAGGCCCACTGCTCGGACCAAGGAGTGGGAGACCATCCTGCCCACCCTGCTCCTGGCCTGGAGTGCGTGGCCTCTTGTCCTGTGCTCTGCGTACAATTTCTATGGTGTCCTGAACAGGGGCTTCATCCAGGGTGCCCCCGGGGTGCCCCCAGGTTGGGAATGTTGGCATTCCTCCTTGAACCTCATCACCATGTTCTCAACAAGCATTAGAATGGCTCTGTCCCCTTCTGGGGCCTGTGCAATGGCCACAAGTAGCCACTGTAGCTGGTCCCTCCAAAGAGTCCGAATCCTGGTGGCAGAGGGAGACTTTCGGGGAAGGGTGTGAGATGGATGCTTTGAATACTCTGAAACCCTCTAAAACCAGGGGCCTTGCTCCAAACAAGAAGGTCGGAGAGGAAGCTGACTACTGAGTATCCAAAGGCCATCACACTCTAAGCTTTTCAGTCCGTTCTCCCACATTTAATCTTACGTGTGAGGGAAGCAGGAGCCACGCGGCTGTGGTGTGTCCCCCACACAGGGCTTGTAAGGGGGTTGGGTTCAGATAGAGGCCCTGTTTGCTTTGCAATGTTCTTTACTTCCTCTGCTTTCCTCTGGCTTGGGGCAGACTAGCTGTTTCACCAATTGAAGGACAAGACAGCAGTGTCAGTGAGTAGATGCCAGCCCACGGCTGGGCTGGAGGCACTTCCTAGAGGAAAGCTGCCCTCACAGGGACTGGGCAGAGGAGGCTGGAGAGGAAGAGAAGGACAAGGAGGGTGGGGAAAATACTGGAGAGACAGACAGCAGGGAAAGAAGATCAAAGAGGAGAGATTAGCCTTGACATTTCTAACGGGGTGGGAGTAGGGTGGCAAGGAAAAAGGACAGAGCCTGCCAGACTAGGTGACCCCTCCAAGAAAGGGCTGCAGTGAGCGGGACCACCCGGACAGAGCTTTGTAAACAGGGGCAAGAGGGCATCCCAGTGAGCTGAGGCAACGCTGCGAGACAACCCATCCACTCTCATTCAACTTAATCACTGTGATCTCACATTTCCTGCATGTCCATCAATATGGACATTTCAGTGCATAAATGCCATTTGCTGCTAAGGCTGGATACCATTTTAAAAAGGCAGGTCTGATTAGAACTTTCCCCTTCTTGAAGAATGTCCAGTTCTTCAAGACCTCGAGATAAAGACATACGTATTTTACACACCCACCCACACTTGACCAAGAGAATTGTCCACAGATTTTTCCAGGCCTTAATAAGACAGAAACAAAACCACAGTGCTGCCAAGGAACAGTGCACATACGTCAGACCTTTGTCTGACCCGTGTCTGTGCCGCAAAATCTGCATGGCCAACTCCAGATCTCATTGAGCTAAATAATCCACGTGGCAAAATGTGGAAAAGCCACAAGAACACGAGACATGGTATGATTTGTCAAAGTAGGAGTTCCTGTGCCTCATCTTTACCCAGAAAAAGCACCCTTGATGAGTTTAGCAACCTATTCTACACACAGAGTGGCAGGTGTATGACAGTAGCAATGGATACAGTTCATTTTTAAGCATTGGGCCGATGAGCAGGTTGTTTGGTTATGATGAGACGTGATCCATGCCTTCTAAATGAAACAGAATATTCTTCCCGTTGTCCCTCATCTCTGTCGAGTTACCTCTTCGAGAGCTGTAAGCAACCCCAAAGGCTGGCCACCCCCACCCATCCGACCTCTGCACTCACATCCAGCGTCAAACAAAATCCCATCTCTGTGGAGCTTCATGAGGACTCAAAAGGGGAAAGAATGTGTTGTTTCCAAGGAGAAGTTGAACTCACTGGTGCATCCAGTCACGTATCCTACCAACACGTTTCAGACGTTGCCTACGTATCAGGCACCACAATGATTTCCCCCATGACCTTGTAAGGCAGGAATAACTGTCCCCATTACAGAGCCGAGTATACTGAGGCCTGAAGAGTAACCACCAATAGTGGCAGAGCGAGTTTGATCGCTGCCCATACCCCTGAGTTCAAGCCACCTCACTTAAAGCCCACCTTGGGGACTCTGCTGTAGGAACCCAGGATGCTGACATCCGAGTGCACAGAGCCGGCCTGGTGCTGGAGTTACAAATGGAAACTCTGCTGCACACCCACTGGGTGCACGTCCTCATTTACCCCACCCCACCCCCGTAGCCATGTGATGGTGAGCAACTTGCTTAACCGCTCTGAGCCTTCCTTTCTTAAACAGAAAAGATAATAGTGCCAACCTCACTGGGCTCTTGTGAGGATTACCTAAGATGATATATTATGAGGTGACTTAAACCATCCTGGCACAGAGTGAACACCTAGCAAAGGTTAAACTTGAATGTTTCAAGGAAGCAAGCCATTGAAATTCCAGGTGAGAAAGTCTAAAATCAGGGCACACCCAGGGCCATGGGTGTTCAAAGGAGACCAGTGTAGCCTAGTTGTGGAAGTCATAGCACAATCTAAGCCACAGGAGGCGATCACAAGACCCGTGGGCCAAATCTAACCCTCCACCTTGTTTTATCCGCCCAGCACCTTGTTTCTACCTGGCAGCAGTTCTGAGCTTGTTGCCCCTAGTTAAGGAGCAGTTACATTTACACAGTCCTAAAATCACATTTGGCCCTTTAAAGGCAACTGCGAGGCTGGTGTGGCCCCTGGTGAAAATGAGTCTGACGCCCCTGATTCCAAGCTGAGTACTGGAGGACAAATAAGAGTCAAATAGAGAAAGGGATAGCAGAAAGGGTGTCCCAACAAGGGGAGGAACCATTGAGTAATTGGGTTTCAATGGAGAGATCCAGACAAGCTCTCTTAGGAATGTTCCACTCCTTTGTGGAACATTCCGGGGATCCCAGGAAGAACCCTAGCACCTCATGTCTGAAGCCAAATACCCCATCCTGTAGAGTCCGATCCCCACCCAGCTGAGACTCAGAGTCCCAGGCAGGGTGCCCCTTCACCCTGTGACCAGACCTGGCACCTCAGTGCTCGGAAAGCTGCTGAGCATGAGCTCTGATGGGGGCGGGCCGGGGAACGTCTGCAACGTGAAGGAGGGTACAACAGCTGAGGGCAGACTCTGGGGTCCATACTGGAGGAAAAGCATCATGACCCTCACTTAGGGTTTGTCTCCGTCCCTCCTTGTGTGGGACAAAGTACACCCCCTCTACCCTTCACCATTCCATAGACAGGGCCTTTGGAGCCAGAAGAGTTTAAAGCAATGCCCTACCTGTGACTCAGTGAGATGCAAGACACAATACGTGGCTCACTGACTTCTCTTGAACTTCTCCCAACTTCTCTTGAAAATTCAGAAGGTCTGTGCACACTAGGCCTGAGTGACATTGCTCGGCAATCCAGGGGAGGCTAGGTCAGGGTCAAGGCAGCTTCAGTTACATAGATATGCCTGGGCTCCACTCAGTTACACGGCCTGCACCTGAATTGAGCACATTCCCTTAGAGACTTGTGTGCCTGACTTCATCTCTCAGAGTCATCTGAAACACCTTGAAAGGTAGAGCTGGCTCCATAGAGATCAGCTGATCCAGGTCTCAGAAGTGTAGTGGGCCTCACCTGGGCCCTAGAGCATGTGGTTTGTAGTTTTGATGGGGGAACCCGGCATCAGTGTTTTCAACAAGCTCTCAAGTAGTTCTCATATTTCATACCAGAGCTAACATTCGGCAGGAGTACGGCCACGCTGGCTGTTAATATATTAAAACAGGCCCATACTGATAGGTAAATCATGGTTGCTCTGAGCCCCCCAGTGTCTCTCCCCATTTCGATACCCTGGCCCCTCCTCCAGGCCCTTCCCATCACTCTACCAACCTAGAGCTAAGGCCAGGTGCAGCTGAGACCTCGGGTAATAAAGCCCTTCTTCATTCTGATTGGCTAGAGCCTATGCCTTACGGGTTAAATTTCCTGACTGTTACACTATTGTAAAGAATAAGGTCCAGAGAGTCCCTCAGAGGCTGAGAACACTGCCATCAACGTCAGCACTCTTCCCACCCCCCACCCTGCCACCATCCAGCCCTTGACAATTACCTTCATCAGGCCCCCCTTGGCTTAGGAAAGGAGCTGACTTGGAGGGTGGGCAGTTCTCTGTTGGCCTGTGTACCTTTCTCGGCTGATACTTTCGCAGCCATAAACAATGTCCTTCAGCCTCCCAGCTCCTCTGACATCGGTTTGGCAGGTATGGGAGTCATTTGTTGCAATGAGATGAGCAGGCATCCATCCTCGTCCTCTCACCCATCTACGTACACACCCGTGAGCCCCATGGCCTCCGGCCTGGGAAGAACGCAGCTGTGGGCAGGCAGCACGGCCAAGGCCCAGCGAGTATCTCCAGGTGGGAGACAGTGCTTAGCAAGCAGGGCTTTCCTGGGGCCAGCAGCTGCTGCTACTGATAATTCCCCTGTTTATGTCTGAGAATAGAGACCCCCGTTCTTCCGTTGGCTAAGAGAAGGGAGTGTTTGCGCTTCCAACAGCCCCTCAGGTGATCATGAAAGACAGTCACTGCGGGAATATGTTTGGCAGGCGGGACCAGATCAGAGGAGTTAATTCCAAAGATCCTTGCAGCAGGTTGGAGTCATTGAGAATCAATCTTGCCTGGATGTTTGCTTGAAATGCAGCAATGGTAAATGCCCGAGCCATCTGTTTGCCAGGTCACAGTGTTGTGCCCTAGACCAGAACAGAACAAAGTGTTCCCAGGAAGCCCTTCTGCCCACTGGCCTACACTTTGACAAATACAGTGCTGCAGAGGTGGGATCAAAGATGAGATGATGGGGATGGAGGGCGTGAAGGAATGTTACAACTCCACCCAGCATCCACCCACCCACCCATCCACCCACCCCA